ATCAAGTACAGACACGAGCAATTTCTATTTGATGCTCCGGACCATCGCGTTAGGTTTCTTACTGAGGATCACAGCTTTCCCATCGGAGATTTCCAACATACAGTGAATGATGCGCGCATTTAAAGAGATTACCGAAAGATAATGTTGTTTTATCGTGTCAAATTCAGTATGGTGACATTTTAGAAGAGCAAAGGACACTAACGCCGTGGCTGGCACGGGGAAGCTCTGAAATTTCAAATATTAATTGTGTTTATAAATATAACGCATTTTGTTTTTAATTCATAATCGCCACCAGAAGACAAAAAGTCTGTATTTGAACGAATTTTGATCCAGCGGTCTGTATTCGCTGGCAATTTTAGCTTCATCTGTAAATCGCAGTATGAATTGCACTAAAGTGTTTGATGCAATTAGGATTTGGATTGCAGGGTTCACGCTGTATGTATTGCAATATAAATTTCAAGCAATATAACATTTAAAAGTAAAGATATACACGATCCCACCCAAAGAGGGCAGTCCATTCCCCCTCAAGACAAGCTCCATCGGATCCTGCACTCGGCGCCTGCGCAACGCTTGTATCTGGTATTGATATTTAATTGCACGCCTTAGCCCTAGCTCGAAGTCCTAGGAACATACTGGTGCTGTTCAGATTGTTCATTACGCTCGGCCATTTTTTTTTTTGGCTCCGAATATTCACGCTTGCTATCCGCATATCCTACTGACGATATTGGAGAACTATTAGAGCCACTAGACAAAAATGCTAACCCCGCTAGACAGTACCAAAACAAATGACACATGTGTTGGTAGCAGTAGATAAATAGATTACGCCTTCTCGCACTTGAACTGTCAGTCAAGCATCTCGCTCCAATTCGCCGAAGATCCTTGGGTGCTGTCACAATGAAAGCTCACAAAATACCTGCTGTAAAGGATTTCACTGCTGAGTTTGGCAAGAAGACGTTACGTGCAGGCGACTATACATCGTACCATTCAGCAGGCTATGAGGATACAGACAGAGGTGTCAACATGGTTCACGATCGGATACTCACCATTGACCTTGATGATGATCGGTACTTTTAAACACTCGACACAGGAGAGTTACTGATTACAAGATGGAAGGTTAGATCAGACAAAGACGCTCAAGGGCAACGGCAGCCACGCAACATTCGCGCTCTCGAACTCGTTAAAAGTTCAATTTCCGCTCCAACACGTCGCGAGCAGTTCGCAGAAGCAATTCGCGATCTCTCAGAAAAAAATGGCATGATTAAACAGCAAGAGATACACAAAACGTTTTGGAAGACTGGAGTAAAGACAACATGGGCAATGGTGATATATTCTCTGGTTTGGGCTCCAACTCTGATACTGGTATGGCTAGTGCCCAAGAAACGCCCTGTCCTCAATCTGTTCGTTCATCTACAGCAGCAGTGAATGAACGGTCTGTTTCTCGAGTGTCTTCTTCCGTACATACGCAATCCAATAGGTATTTGTTTCAAGTTCCCGCACAAGCGTTTTTGTCTCCAGAGCGTGCTAAACAGTTGCTCAACAACTTTGCAAGAAATTATGGCTATTAAGCTGATTATTCTCAACGACATACCCATCTTTTCTTTGCTCCCCGGGAAGCGGTTGCTATCTTTAAGGAAAACTCTGATGTTGTCTTTATGGACTGCACTTATAAGACAAATGCGTTCGATATGCCACTTTTGAACATGGTTGGCGTGACGGGTATGAACACTACGATTCATTAAGCGCAGAGTTTCATCCGTACTGAGACTGGTGACGACTACACGTGGGCGCTCACTGAATTGAAGAGGGTTATAG